CTATGTGACCCTAATAATGGAGTTCTAGGAATGAATCTTCCTCGTTGTACCTGATCCATGTTAAATAGACTGCGTACAGGTCATGGTCGGTGTTGTTACCTCCTCAATAAGTGGGGGCTCCAAGATAACCCAATATGTGACTGCGGATACGGGGAACAAACAATAAATCATATAGTAGTTGATTGGCAAGGTAGAAAATTCATTACCAAGGTTTTGAAGGCCTGCATTTAGTGACACCAGAAGCAATTACCTGGATTACGAACCTCGAGATCTGTCTATGAACCCACATCGCAAGAACGACTCACTTTTATTGTTATTTATGATTTTTGACTTATTATAGTTCTATTGTAAGTTATACCGTTATAGATTCATATCTATATCATGTTTTGTATTGTTTTTAGTTAATATTTTAGTTTATGTTTTAGTTTATATTTTAGTTAGAGTTTGATAGTTAAGTTGATTTTTGTTAAAAGCCATACGAAATAAATAAATAAATAAATTCAATTAATAGATTGTGCAAGCAAAATTTTAAATAATAGGTAAGTACCGAAATATTTTTGGTGCTTTAAAGTGCAATGAAATTCAATTGAAGTGAGCAATAAGTGCTTCTAAAAAATAAATAAATTGTAATAATAAATGTACCTACCTAGTACAAACCCGAATTGGGGGAGCCAGGGTAGTCACGTCTCCGGAGAGGGGGTCCACAAAGACTAAATTATTATGAGTTGAATTAAATATTAGAGGATTTTTTTTTATTATTATTTATATTATTTTAGGCATCCTGACCCCACAACTCTTAATCCGGGACTGACCTAATAGATATCATAAAAATATACGTGTTGCTATATTTATACAAATTAGTCACAAGTATAGTCGATTAGTAAAATGTGTTGTAATTTTCAATGAACACTGTAAATTGTTATCGATTTGTAAATTATTAAACAAATACTTCAAAATTAATTTATTTTTAATGACACAAACAAAAAACATAGCATAGACACTGTAAACGAATAATTCACCATAAATTAACTGAATGGAAGCTGGAATCACTCAAATGAAATTGTCCGAAGGTCAGCTGGTATGGGATATTGTGAAATGGAAGGTTGAACCAGCCGAATGATAGCTTCAGCAGATCCAAGGCCGTTAATTGCTTTACAAATGTAGTCTCCATAATGGCTGTATGTAGTAGAGGCGATGGATAGAATACCTTCTGTAATTTCATCCGTGATTACACGTTCGGATATACTAAATGTAAATATTAAATGTTTAAAAAATATTGAACAACAACAAATTATATCTGATTATTTAAAAACAAGTATACCTGTAATGATCATTATAGTTATATAACTGTTGTCCGATTTTGAACCAAACTATGGCCGGAGTAGGAAATGCATCAACATGACATTCAAGATTTATATTTTGCCTTAATGCTTGTTCTACTTTAGGCCTAGGAATTATTATGGATGGTGCACATTTTACTTGCATAGTAACACTATATCGGACACCACGGCCAACTCCATTATCAGCTATACAACTATATGTTCCTCTATCCTTCCTGTTTACACGACTAATTTGTAGAATGTTTCCTCTGTAAAATTAAATTTAGAATGAATGCATTATTTTATAATCGTTAAAACTACTAAAATATATTATTGTAATTTGTAGGTATGTTTGTACTTATATGCCGAACCAACATGTGGAGCTGGTAAAATTTCGGCGTTCACTCTTTTCCAAAAAATCTTCGGGTTAGGGTACCCCTCCGCATAGCACTCGAGGCTTACGNTCTTTTGACCTTCAGTAACAAAAAAAGATTTCGTTGAATTGCTCAGTATGAACGGACTTCTCTTCACTTTTAACATAACTTGGGCAAATAATTTTGTATGTAAATTAATATTTATGGTACATTGATACGCCGCGTCATCGATTTCTTGAATATCACTAATCTAAAAATATTTTTAAATATTACAACTATTAAAAAATTGATGACCAAATAATGCTGGCTTTCAAATACCGTTAAATTATAACATCCATCCGTCGCCCGTACTGAGAACCGTGATGATGAGAAAATTAAAGTTCCGCTAACTGAAAGTATTAATGGTTCTGCCATTTTGGAATTATTGAGTTTGACCCAAGATACTGGAATATCATCATAATTGTCGATGATGCAACAACTGAGTTGAGCCATCTCACCTCTGCCCCGAATGATATCTTTATTAATATACACTATTTCCTGGGCATGACAGACTAAAAACATATTAAAATTGATAATTAGCTAAATACTTCAAGTATATAATTTTATTTTTCAGAATAATGTTTAAAGAAAACCATAAGATATTGTCGTATTATTTATTATGTCAAATATAAACTTATAAATAAAATAAAAATAGATAAATAAATAAAAATAACAATATAGGATGAACTTTCCAGTAATTGTAAAAGTTACGATTTATTTATTGTTAAATTGATAATTAAAAATTATTTATTTATTTAATTTAGACGAATAGATTAGTAAATTTGTTATTTTTAAAACGAATTTGTTTAATCAAATATTAGATTAACTTAACAATATTTAAATGAGTTTGCTCAAGAAAAACCTATTAAACCTAATGATTAAACAAATAGTAATTTATAGAGTTTATTTTTTTGAAAATGTTGATGTATGAACATTTTATGTTCATTTAACTTGTAATTTTAATAATTGTTTAAAGTTCGAAGAATAAAAGTGAATTTAATAGAAATCGAAAATTCATCCATCAAATTTTCTTTTGTAAAACTATATTGGAAATATATTGTTGAAAAAGCAATATTATTAACCGAGATCCTCTCAGAAGAGTTTTTCGTCAGCAATGATTAATTATTGTATACAAATTTAGGTACATTTAATTCCCCTTAACATCCTAACTTACCGACTTCTCCTCCAAAACGGTTGTCCACCTATCATGCGAATTACGTCACTCTTTTTGGTTTTTTATTTTCTTAAGATTTGCAAATTGTTATTTAAATTACCATTATTTACGCCCCAAATTATGTATTCTGCCACCACGTTAATACGATGACCAGGCAGTCGAAGGGGTTTTCGTTTTTTTTGGTCAGCTCCCCTTCCCACAATGCCTCTACAGTTGTGCTATGCATCTGAATAGCTGACCGCTTTTTAACGGCTACACACAGTAGCGTACGCAGAATATTAGTTTGGTTAGGGTTTTAACTTCAGATTTATCATGGATCTGCGTAGGTCTTCACCCCTCCACACACCTCACTTATAGCTGAACTAGTAAAACACGGAATAATTATTCTAAGTTCCTTTATCTGTTTTTGTCTTAACTCTTAAGATCTTGTACTTAATTTGATAATTATGATATAAAAATGATTTAAGTAATAAAATAAAATCATTAAATCATGTATGATAAACCGAAATAATAAAATAACTAAACAATATGCATAGTTTTAAAAATTGAACAATAACAATTGTATATTTATTTATACTTAACCCTAGGATAAACAACCTCAAACGTCGCGCATTGCTACAATAATATTAGGTACGTATCGCGACGGAATACGATATGGTATACTTAAAAATAATAAATCCATATTCCAGAGAGCTATAGACCATAAATTTGATTCACAGAGTTAACTGTCTATATCTGTGAGGAGAAAGGAAGTTCGAGGGAAGGGAGGGGAAGGTTTAAACCGTAGAACCCTATTTCTGCGTACGCCACTAGCTACGAAAACACCCGCTTCTACAGCAGCACACGAAATACCTACATTATATAAGCTGATTTATAATATTACGATAGTTGAATGCAATTCCTTGCATTGGTTTATTAATAAAAATGTAGTGATAAGGTCGCGATGTGAAAATAGGCGAATCATTAATTATATTCTTTAATCTATAATTATATACACGGGACTCGCCCGAATAGAATAACTTGCCACAATTAACGAAAATATGTAAAATTTACAATAAAAATTTAACAACAAAACTCTTAATCTTCTGTATTCAGAATGGCTTTTTGTATGCGATTGTTTGTTTTTATATTTTATAGTTTTATTCTACAACATGTAAAGAAACTACTTCCAATTTCACTTTTACATCAGTGACCTAATCATCAAGCGAATATAATTAAGGACCTACGGGATTAAACCGTCCATATATAGCGCGTATAAAACAATTAAATTTTGGTGTAAATAATAAACGGTGTAAATAATTAAACCACTTACCAATCTTAATTATGCAGACCAGTAATCCCAATATTACAACGGTTATGTTTTCCATATCAAATTTGAATAAATTTAATTGATTTTATTCAACACGTAGTTAATGTAACACGATAACTGTACAACCGAAGACTGAAGGTTGCCGAAGGCATGCCGAGCTAGCCGGGGTAGCGTATTGAGCCCTTCGTCCCTCCCACTACCACCTATACAGTATTCCAAAAGAAAGAGAATTCTGGTTTTATCTAAGAAGAAAAAGAACAGACACTACAATTCACCCTGAACGGCGCGGCGTATATATGTAATGGAGGGACACAGAACTATTCGAACGACCAATAGCAAATTTGTAGGATTGTTATTATACACGTATAAAACGATTCATACATTACACGTAAAATACCCAACATATAGAACGTTTTCGACTTTATAACGACCGAGAAATTTTTTTTTTTTTGAAGTTTATTATAATACTGTAATGATACGGTACATTTTAATTTTTAATAAGTCTTTACACTTATAAATTAATATAACGAATTAAAAAATCACAATCAATTGTTTTAGTATAAATTAAAAACAAAACAAATTATTTTTTTGATATTATAATAAATATAGATGTGGTTATTGTATATTACGTTCCAACCCTGCAAATTTGAAATAAATCTAAAAATCGTTTGTGAAATGTTCGTGACATTACATTTTTACATTCGGTGTAACAGACAATTGATAGTCTATTATATCACATAGTAGGGTCAAATAGTA